CTTTGCAGCATTGATATTATATTCTACCTCCTACCTCATGAAGTTTAACCAGATTTTAAATATGCATAATTTATTACTTAACCATTACTTTTATGTTTGTTTTTTCTGAGAGAGTGCATATTTAAGATGTCTTCAGAATTTGGTCTTAAGATTTGGTATATTTCAGAATAGCTAGAATTTGAATGGATCTAGCATAAAGAAAAGACAAATAAGGTGATAGATAGCCCAAGTACAATGGTTTGATTTTTACAAATTATATGATGTAGTAAATTATCACATGTACCCTGAAACTACGTACATCTATTATGCATCAGGTTTTTTTTAAGTTTTTTAAAAAAGATTTTAAAATTTGGTTTTGTAAAATCACATGTTCTATAAATGACCTATTTCTGTTTCAAAATATCTTTTCTCCAGATTCTTCTGCACAGTCAGTACCCTCTGGAGTTCGTGCACCGTCTCCTGCCCCTTCATCAGTACCTTTAGGGTCAGAAAAGCCCAGCAACGTCTCTCAGGACAGGAAAGTTCCAGTCCCTATCGGGACTGAACGTTCTGCACGTATCAGGCAAACTGGAACTTCAGCTCCATCTGTTATTGGGAGTAATTTGTCTACATCAGTAGGGCATAGTGGCATCTGGTCCTTTGAAGGGATTGGTGGCAATCAAGGTAGGATATGCTCTCCTTCTTACCAGAAATTAAGTTTATGTACTCAACTATATTGTAAACAGTATTTACCTTTTGTAGTCATTTTAAAAAGATCTATATTCCTATTTTTTTGTTTTGACTATTTAATTACTTCTTTTTAAGAGTTCTGTTCCCATGTGATCTTTGCCATTACATTTATTTATGATTGCTTTCTGAAAGTGCTCTAATACAAGTATATTCTTTTCTTCATTTCATCCTATTAGAAGATGTTGATATTTCCTTTGAGGCACTTTAGGTTTTATATTAGCTTTTTTTCTTTTGTGTTGTAACACCAAGTGTTTAGATCATTTTATCATTACGTACAAACATGGAAATACAGCTGTAAATATATAAAAATAGTCCATTATTCTGAAATAATTCACAATTCACTGTGGAAAATAATAGAAAAATAGAAAATATTTTATTTTGCTGTCCTTTGATTTCAAAGTATCACCAATTTTTTATTTCTGCCTCTCCGTTTTCCCTCAGACAAAGTAGACTGGTGTAACCCTGGGATGGGAAATCCTATGATTCACAGACCAATGTCTGATCCAGGAGTATTTTCACAGCATCAAGCAATGGAGCGAGATAGTACAGGAATTGTAACTCCTTCTGGTACATTCCATCAGCATGTTCCTGCAGGCTATATGGACTTTCCTAAAGTTGGGGTAATGCTCATTTAAATAATCATTTTCATTATTTATGTGTCCTGATTTTGTCCCAGTTATTTAAGGGGAGGGTTTTGTTGTTTTTTTTTTTTAACCAAAATATTTTGGAGGTAGTATGCTTATGTATAATCTATTGTTAAAAGAAATCATATAATGGAAAATAATTTTTAGATTCCTTAGGTAACTTACACATTCCCAGAATGAGGTGAAGTTTCAAATATTAATTTTAAGCCTATTGCTTATATTAGGAAAAGCAAACAGTGAATTGAATGTTAATCTTTTTTGTTTCCTTTTTTAAGGGTATGCCTTTTTCTGTATATGGGAATGCAATGATTCCTCCAGTAGCACCTATCCCTGATGGTGCTGGAGGACCCATATTTAATGGCCCTCATGCTGCGGACCCCTCTTGGAACTCACTGATAAAGATGGTTTCAAGTTCCACGGAAAATAATGGCCCTCAAACGGTAAGGAATTCAGTGAACAAACATTTATTTAGTGTTTATGAAATGCCCAGACAGGTAGGACATAGGTAAATCATGATAGAAAGAAAGTATGGTGAATATGGGCAGTGAAGGAAATTGAGGGAAATTTAATATAGCTGAAATATAGCAGAGGGATTTGGGAAATGTTACCAAAGGCAATGGTTTGGGGCTAAAATTATGAAAGGCTTTATATATTCTATTGGTTAGCAGATAGTACGTTAAAATTTTAAGTTGCAAAGAGATTATCACATA